AGTAGACTAGAATAGAATATACGCGATACTAGCTCCCAATGGAGCAGAGCACTGCGACCAGATTGCAACTGACCCTAACCGAACAGAAGACATTCCACCTTTCGAATGAAAGCCAGAATGTCGTCCGTTGAGGACCTCCTAATATCAGAAGGAGAGAGCAGCTCTCGTCCCAGTGACTTCCTCCTTGCCCAGATCAGGGCTGGGCAACCACAGAGAATGTGACTGGTACTCTCGTCTGCTTCTAAGCAGAGTCGACAAATCGGACAAACCTATTTTATTAAGGTGATAACGCAGTCCATGGTGACCCGTTAAATATCCCACCAGCAATCTCAAGTCTGATCTGCTAAGGAGGGATGCCTTGCCATAATTGAATGGGTGAACCAGCTGTTCACCCTGACGGTTACCTTGATTGTCGCGCCAGTAGCGACCTCTCTCGGCTGAGACACATTTATCAATTAGATACCTAGTTGTTGACCAACTTAATCCACAATAGGGTTCCGGTCCACAGGTTTGAGTGGCAGATCCTGCCCTTCCAAGACTGTCGGCAGATTCATTACCCTTTATTCTGTGTGCCCAGGCACCCAGCAAAGCGTCACTTTGTTTTTGCTAGCCAGCTGCTGTAGCATATCAAAGCAGTCTAATGAAAACTTTGAGAAAAACCTTCAGGAGGATGCAGCTTTGATTGCTGCTTGACTATCTATAGTGCACTACTTGAAGACAGTGCCATATACCCAGCGCTAGCGAGATTCTGGTGTTAGGATCAAATATTCCAACACCAACTCCTTCTTTGGTTTTTGAACCTTCGGTGAACCATAAAATTACTTCTGGTTCTGATCCAGGAGTGCCATTTTACTAGTCCAATCGATCGGGAATGAGGACTTCGAACTTTCTTCCGAAGGAATTTCTTCCGAAATTCCATGTTCATGTGATCTGTCCTATCGTTGATAATACATAGTAACATAATACATAATAAAATACAATTATACTTCCATTACACCTTTTTTCGGATTTTGGATACAGACTCACTCACTCCCTGTCCATATCTAATCACATATCACTATCACTCATCCGTTGCATGCAAAATAGTGCTGGGTTACGTTTTTTTTTTTAAATTGTAGGTTAAACCTCAGCTGACATCATCTTTCAGGCTTACGAGACGTTCTTATAAAAAACAGTGTGTAGTATGGATTTGATCATCACATATTCAGTTATAAATTTTTGACCATATTCTTACTTTAGTGTTTACTTTCAAAATTATAATTTAGTGTCGCATCAAATGTTTAGTAAATCGTACAGTATTCTAATAATTCACCATCTTCATAGAGACTTTATTTGATATCATTTGCTATTTTTCCCCATAAATTGTTATAACTTGAAATCGAAATTGACAGCCTTCCCCTGAGGAAAATAAAAACTGAAAACTGTAACAGGAACCGAGTGGAGAAAGTTTTAAAACAAAAACGGCGTGGAATTAATTTCCACGCAGTATTTGCGCAGACAATGTAGAATTATATTAAAAAATTTCATATCTAAAAACAAAAAGTTCTCGACGGAATTCATAGAACTTGGCTAAATGAAATTGAAAACCATTTCATAATTAAACTAAATATTGTTACCTTTACAGACTTTGTTTTATTTTGGGAAATGGGCTTCATAGATTTACACTGTTACATGCCAAATTCACATGCCACATTGAGTCGGAGCGTAAATTGTGGAGTTGGAGCGTAAATTTTGTTCTGGAAAAACAGGAAAGTATGTCACTGCCTTAGAGGCGCACTAATTAAATAGAGCATTTGTTACTAATTAGATTTTCCTACACATATGTTAAATCACTCATTACACTAGCCTAGAGTGATAAAGTATGAGCAAATACATTTGTAATGCTTAACTCGACTTTTTTCTGTTTTATTGCAAAATATTTTTCTCACATTTAATGCTTATCAACATTTCCGCAAACATTTACCATTAATTCAGTTCACATCCGATGGGTAAATAATTGCATTTGAAGTTTTTCTCTTGATGATACTGAGAAAAAACATTAAGTGCTGAATTCAAGAATTCAACATAGCCCACACCCACTCTCGCAGTAGTACATAGCGTCCATCAGTCCCACATTGCATAAAAGTATTTAGAGCACATAATCACTTAATAAAGCAATACCGACTTTAAATTCAACAAGGGAATCGCACTGCACGAGTTTAATCAGAACAATTTCTCCACAAAGCAACTAATATTTTACAAATGTACGAGAATCCGAGAATCCGAGAATACGAGAATACGAGAATACGAGAATCCGTAACGCTCATGGCTGCAATGAAAGTTTCCAGCTATAAACTAAATACTTCGAAAGTGTACCTATCGCTTGGGCACTGCACCAACGCAGTAAAGATGATTAATGACACCGGTGACAGTATCATCGCTTTCGGGATACTACCACCTTCCTGTGGACTAAATAGCAATTCGAGCTCGTGCACAGCTGCGGTGGAAAAGTAGCGCATAAATTTTTTATTGAATTTCTTGCACGAAATTGAAAATCTGAATTTGGCAGAAGTTGGCCTATACGTATAACGATTTCATATTTCTGTTCTATATTTGCACACATCCTTTTTTAATGTTCTCCTCCGTACGATAGGTACATGGAGTTGCCGAAATGTTCCAAACGCAACCACGAAGAGGTAAAATTTAATGTGAAGAAATTAAGGTAAGGAATCGATAAACATAAATTGTGGCAAATGAAAAGCAGCGTTTAATAATTCAATGAAAATAAAGTGTAATTGTATGCAAAGATCCATAAAAACAACGAAAATTGTTTGTTTTAATCTTATTTTTAATCTATGTAATATACTTTAAATTATTTTAATTTTCCTACTAAGTTTATTGCTGCAGAGCAAAAGAGAATAGAACATATTTATGATTTACTCATATGGAAACTGTGATAAGAATAGGGACCATCACAGTTATCAATAAAAAAATAAAAATCAACTAATAATTCTTTTTATTCCCATTTAAAAATAAGACAAAAAATAATAATTAAATTTGCTACATATTACCTTCTGCTCAAAAAGTATCCGGATTTTTGTGTTAACTACTCCTTAAGTAATAGACCTTTCTTAAAAATTTCTTTTTGTTCTGTTTGTACACTCCTTCTTGACATATGGTACAAATTTGAGCGCCACCTGTCAATTAGTTTGTTAACAGCAGTTGTTAATGTGAGACTACCTCAAGTGCATTTAGCGATTTTTACTATGGAAAATTCTTGTTGTACGCGATTTTATGACCAAACATGGCACCACTGTCATCGCTCAGGCACCATATTCACCAGATCTGGATCCGTGCGACTATTTTCTGTTCTCGAAACTCAAATTGCCCCTTCGTGGTGAGCGTTTTGAGTCAATTGAATCGGTAAAAGAGAATTCGCCGAAGGAACTAAAAGCCATACCTGCACGGGCCTACGAAAAGTGTATGGAAGATTGGGTTAAGCGTTGCCATAAGCTTCAGATGGAGCATATTTTGAAGAAGATAAAATAAATTTGGAATAAAATTTAAATTTGTGTGTTTTATTTACAATTTATATGTACTTTTTGAACAGAAGGTATATTTTTCAAAATAATTATTATTATGTGCCTTTTACTTTTTCAGGCACAAACCAAACCAAATAACTCTACTTTAAATATTCATATCATATCATATTATATAAGAACCGCATTAATTAATTTTTTTAACGTAATTATAGATATAAAACTATATTAAAAATATCGCAAACAGTAGTAAATTACAAGAATAACATTTGGCAGGGCACGAGTTCAACCCTTGGTAATATAAGATATAATTCCAAGAGCACTGATGATAGGTATTTGCCAATACTCGACAGCTGGTCAGCCAAAAATTCAATTAATCAATAACTAATTAAATTTTATTAATGTTAATTTTATTAATTTATTAATGTTAATATGATGAAAAAAAACTTATTATATATTCCGGACTATATATGTAAACTTAATTTAAACTATATTGAGAAGACTTCACGTGCTTATGTTCTGGACTATATATCCGCATTTATTTTGAACTATATTGATGTGTGACCTTTATTGTTCAAACGATGTAAATTATGGAGCTTCGTAAAACCAACCTAAATGTAATATGATTCCTTGTTCCAGAATATATCATTCACAAGGCCCAGAGAGTCACTATTTCATTTCATAAGCCATATGACTATTTGAGGCATAGCTTTTTATCTCCAAGTAACAGCTTTTATACTGTGTTTTATACTGTGATATTAATTTGATATTTTTTCTTTTCTACCTTTCTCTCTCTCTCTCTCTCTCTCTCTGTCTTTCTCTCTCTCTATTTTTCTCACGTTCTCTTCATCTCTTTCTCTCTCTCTTTACCTCTTTCTCTCTCTCTTTCTCGCTCTCTCACTCTCTTTTTTTCTATTTTTTTCTATTTTTTTAAATTTGATATGGTCAAAACTGTGGGTATACTTTAAAAAATTTTCTTTAAGTATATATTGCATATAAGATTTATGAAATCGCTAATTTAAATTTTCTGAATAAATTTCCATAAATTTAGAACAGTAAATATTTTAATTACTTTTCTTTTTAATAAAAAAACTCACTCAAATTGTCTCCGAAATGCCATAAACTCCACAATATATTATACGTATAAGATTTCTAGAGCCAAAGTTTTGGCCAATTAAAAATGTATCTGAAATGTAAATTCTCAAACTAACATTGGCTTTTATTTCCTAGCATAGAAATTTAAAAATTGCTTTCTGAAATATAATAAGTCTTGCTACTGCCTACTAAGAACTTGTAGACAAACTTCACTCTAATTGAATGTGATGAAGTCAATTTTGGTCAAAATTCGATACGTTTTTTAAACAACTCCCCATTTAGATATATAAACTCAAAAAACCTGTGATTAAAAATGTAAATAAAGTTTTGTACATAATCTTTAGCAAGGATTTAAAGATAAAGTTCTAAACACAACAAATATGCTATTCCAAATTTTATTTAATGTATGGATGTTATAAATGCAAGAATCAGAACAATTTACTATATAGGATATTTAGAATAGTTATTTAAATTTTTTGTAATGTAAATTAGTTGAGATATTTTAAAAGTTTTAAAATTACTTCCATTAAGCACTTGAACACTCATAGGTCCACCACATTAATGTCCTCTTCCATGTATTCATTTTCGATATCATGAGAAGGACGCACCGCAGAAGGTTGTGGCACATGTTCAGGTGGTTCTGCAGGACATTCACTTACTTGTTTAGATTTTTCCCTTTTTTTGATGGGTTTGGTTCTCTGCTTGCGAGGTGCATTAATGTGATACTTAAGTCCGTTCAAGCCCTTATATTTTTTATTACATCCTTCTATAGGGCACCTGTAGGGTTTTGCCTCTGAATGATCTGCTAATCGCACTGACAACTTTATAATTTCTTCCACAGTTAAACCACTTTGCTCAATATGAGTATTTCTGTTACATCTAGTCATTGTGGTAGCCCCTAATTCATTTTGCATTTCTCTAAGTGCGTTGACTTGACCAGCTATTGAAATAAGTTCACCTGGTGGATTTTGGGAATACATACCGCGACTTGTAGTTGGCATTTCAGTATTGAATTCCAATGCAAAAGAATTTCGGTCAGTAGTAGGTTCATCTCTTTGATCTGGTACTAATAACGATTCTGTATTGAAAATGCGACTGTTGGAAGCATTTTCAAACAGAAATGCTATATCAGATTCAACATCAGAGTCTTGATTACTTCCTGTTGGTGAGGATAGCCCAGCACTACGACTTACAAATAGTTCCATGGGTGACATTGATGGCATTTCAAAGGAATTGTATGAAGAAATTGAACTATTAAAATCACTTGCTTGTAAAAACGATTCAGGAGTATTCATGTTGACATTTAGGACAGATGAAGTTGATGGATGTTTGGCACGAGAACGATGGACTGGAGTCTCATTTGGGTTACCATTACCAACAATAGCTTGCAATGAAGATAAAGCATTAAAGTTTCGACGTGAACCTGAAGGTTGACTAACTGGACGACCTATTGTGAAGTCCGATACGGGGTTAGATTTTGTTATAAATTTAAGGTATAAAAGATATCTTACCCATTCTAACATCATTTATATCGTTTGGAAGCACTTTGCTTAAGGGCACCATTTGACATTGATCATTACTTATTTTCTCATCGTCGTCTAGGAAAACATGGCACCGTTCTACATGCTGAATTAAAGCTGCGAGTGAATTAAACTTTTGTCCGCAGTTGCGGTATTGGCATTGATTACCAAAGAAAAAGGCCATTATTATTATTTTTTTTTAATAATAATTACGTTAATCAAAGTCTTTGGAGAGTGTGTCTAAACACGTTCAGAGTGTGACAAATGCCAGACGAACAAAAACGAATGCAAATCGTTTAAGTTGACACAAATGAAGGCAAATATTTTTTTTTTTGTGACTTTAGGTATTGCCATGCAAGAAAATGTGTAATTATTGAAAATTATATATCAATTAACCAATTATGTAGAACGAATTATGCTATAAAGTGATTGGAAGTATTTTACTTCAAGTATTTCGGCGATTATATCATCTGTGAGGTCATAAATTTACGTCGGCCTTGCATATACTCTTTTGCATTTGCTTTAACCAAAGAAAAATCTTATATATATATTATAGTTTTGTAATAGATTTCTGATAGTTTTTAGATTCACATTAGATATACCAAACCGGTACGTAAGTGCAATAATTTTTGTTTTGTAAAATAAAATTAATGTGACTAACTTTTAAATAATGTACTGGATTTGGAAAAAATTGAATAATTTTTATTGCGCTTTCAATGGTGCCTATAGACATAGGTTTCATATATTTTTATTGTTTTTTTTTTAGTGTAAATTGTGCACTAATTCGTGATGAATTATATTGACTTTAAAATTAAAATCTTGTGCAGAGATAAGTCGAATGAAATTACTCTACTCATAGTGTAAACACTTTAATTTAAAATGACATTTTCTAAATCAACTCCATATCGAACGGTGGTGTGAACACCATACAACACTCTGCTTACTGATAAAAACTAGAAACGAAAACACATATTGACATTTTACTGCTAGCAATTCACCGATAATACAGAATTTTTAGAGTGACCTTAAAATTTAAGTTCCATTTGAATTATGGTAAATTAAATTAGCAGCACTTAAAAGAGCTACTACATGTCCGATGTGAACTAGTCCTGTTTCTTAATCGAATGTTTGCTGCCAACAGTTTTTTAAAGTATATCAAACATTAACATAACATTATTTCGGTTATAGTCTATTTAGACTATCATACTTAGCTCATTTTAAAGTTCTTTTTGATAGGAGGGAGGCTTTAGTTGGATTTCTCATTCAAAATCCATTCGGTACGAGTATAGCAAATCTCTTTTTGTTAAGTTCACGGATTCAGAGAATGCTTCCCAGAAAAACTCTAATTCGGTAATTACGAGTGCAAGTTATATTAAGTTATATTAAGAGCAAAGGGAACATAATGGAACATAATTCCAAACAAGAACTTAAAAAGATTTTTAATAAAAATATAATGTTAAATAATATATATAAATACACTCAGTAGTATTTCAAACAAAAAAAACTATTATTTATTTTTTTATTTTGTTTCGCTGTTTTAGGAGTATTCAAGCTTTAAGTAAGAAAGTGCAAACACTTAAAGTCGGTTTAGCAATGCACAATTAGGGAACACTTAAACGTCATGTGAGTTAATTTTTACTGTGTAAAGATTTAGAGAGTGATTATAATTATGAATAATATGACAATACGTATACATACTTATAACCGTTATACGGTTACGGTAATTATACTTACTTAGTTTAATTCCGTATAGATTTTGTATGAACTTTTTACGTAAAATGGCACATATTCCCATATATCTGTTTATTTGTCGAGTTAAGTAAAGTAGTTTGAACATAGCATTGTTATCATTTTTGATGAACTTCGAAATAATCAAATATTAATTCAAGTCAATATTTTACTGAAGAGCAAAAATAAAGAAAAATTGTCATCTGATTTTGTATGTAAATTTTTTATTCATATTTCTTATGTCGGCTGAGTGCTAAATAACTGCTAAGTGCTTTTTACTGGACACTGAAATATCATATAAACTGAAATAAAAAACACAAAAAATAAATTTAGTGTCAAATCTGCCTTGTAGTGTACAATGTGGGATGGTTCTTAAATTTTTTAAAATATAATTGCTAATTTGCCTAAATTAAGTCTTAACATGCTAATTTATATTACTCTCTTAAATTATTTTATCGTAACTTTTATTTCTGGCATGACAACTCTCAAAGTCGAAATCTGTACCGTTGACTCGTGTCAATTTTAACGAATTGTGCACTCGTTTTTTATCGTTTTGTATTTGTGACATTCGTGCAAATATGGCCGCGGTCTATTTAAAAAATCAAGGAGGGAAAAAAATTTTTGAATTAAAATAATTTATATGAATATTATTCGTTTTTCGAATTAATACTACTGTACCATAGAGCTTTAACTCCGATCAACTATTCTATTATTTCACTGCTATCGAAAGGTATGACTTTCTGACGTGTACACGTCATCGAATTTCCTTACGCAAAATCTTCCACAGTAGTTATGGTTAAAAACCATATAACTGATGTCGTATAACGAATATAACGGAACTGATGTGATACTATCAGTTGAGTCTTTGTGCACAATTTACTCACCCCAAACTGTGGCTTGATACGAAGAGGAGTTAAGGTATTATAAGATTTTTTAATAAATTTTCAATTAGTTGTACTAGTTAGTATATTATTTTGATTAATTCTTATGATATATCTGCGATGATAACTTAAATATGTTAGTATGTCACTTTGATGGACTTTTCTTGTGATGTTGGTTGGTTGGTTACAGTGGCAGGTCATAAGATAACTTCAAATGTACCTCAATTAGCGATTTTTCGCCGTTTTGTTACCACATTCCTCGCAAGAACCCTAGTATAGAAGAGTAGAGACTAAATCCATCCCACCGAATTTAGGTAATTTAACAGGTATTTCATCCTTACCATTGAGCAGTCTAATAAACTATCACAAAAGTATTTTCCTAAGAACCTATATCTTCTGGATGCTAGAGCTGGGCATTCACAGAGAAAATGTATTATTGTTTCTTTCTCCCGCGGGTTTCCACAACTTCTGCAGTGAGAGTTATGGGGAATACGCAGTTTCTCTGCGTGAGTTCCTAACCACCAATGACCAGTAAGAACCGCAATAAGCCTTGCAGTGTTTACGTGATCTCTTTTGATCAGTTCCAGGGAATTATTTTTATTATAGGTGGGCCACGTTAACCTGGAAGTTGACCTTAGTGCTTTCCATCTGTTATTCACGAGTTGCAGAAAGTAAAGAAAGGTACTTCTTTTGATGGTCTCCAGGGTAATATAGACTAATACCGCCAGTGACGCATCTAGGGAGGCACCAGAGCGGGCTAAACTATCAGCTTTCTCATTCCCTACGATGTTCCTATGCCCAGGAACCCAGATGAGTGTGATATCGGCCAACCGGTTTAGCTCGTCGATTGCTTTTCTACATTCTTTTACTATTTTTGATTTTGTTACAAAGGATTCAAGAGCTTTAATTGCTGCCTGGCTGTCAATAAAAATAGCAACACTACATCTGTTCTCGTGATGTACCTGAGATAATAACTTCAGTATGTTAATATCAACTCTTGATTTAATATCTCTCTGTAGCTAATGAAATAAATTTACTATGTGATGAATATTAAAAACATAATGGTTTTACAAAAACTTCATTACAATCATACAGTAGCTTTTATTGACTGTGTTTTTCTTTGAAATTAATGGAATAAATATTGAAGAGCTGCTTCATTTCTAATCTACTCTGTTTTATTTTCTTTGGGGTTTGCATTTTGTCCTATATTTTATTGACGTCCCAACTGTTTGCATAGGTAGATTAATATTTTATTACTTCTGTAGATATAATCTGAACGTGATTTAGTGTAAGGAGCCTCAATCATGTTGACATTTTTAAGGACAGGACTGTTTTTTTTTTTTTGGAATAAATCTTACAGCATTGTACCGAAAGCTGAATAGGTCATCTATAAGGTCTTTATAACGATTGATTATCTTTCATTCAATCATCAATCATTTATTATAGTGAATGATTTCGACGTTGCAAGCCTTTTTGTGTTAGGTTGGAATAGTAATATTGAACACCAATTCTTTTCCACTTCTCCAAGTTTTCATTCGCTGAAAACGTCACCGAGGTAAAAATCACCGAGGTAAGTTTGACAATCCTTTAGAATCTTTAGATGAACGAATTTTTATATATATAAAGTTTTAATACTTTTACCAAAAAATTACTGAAAATTAACAGAAAATGTTTAGTTTGAGTCACAATACGTACGGTAAACAATTTTTTCTTCTTAATGCTTCTACACTAAAGAAATGGTCTTATTCGATCACCATGAGTAAATAAACTGATTAATAATATAGGTCGGGATAACTTTAAAAACTATCATCCAATACAGTATCTGATTTTTGAAAAAAATGTTTTTAATGAGCTAATAGCGATAGTATATGAATGTATGAATGTAGACTGAACGTAGTCTTTGACGATGGCGTCCCGAGTGTTTAAAAAACAACATTTAAAAGGGCATTTAATCCCAAAACTTTGTTCCAATAACATTTGGATTTTAAAATTTGCTGCTTAAATAAAATATCTGCTAATTATCTGTAAAATATTTCATTCAGTAAAATGTTATTTCAACTTGAAGCCAAACAGCATTTGGTAAATATTGATTTTCTTGATTTTTTTCTTATTAAATAAAAGATGAAAGTATTTAGAGTATTTGTGGAATAGATTACAAAACAGAATTTAATATTAATGACTTCCTGAATGGCATTAAAAGTTCTTAACACGCGCACAATACAAATCAAAGCTGCGACTTGAGAACTGCAAACGCTGCAAGTCACAGGAGAAAATTAACTCCAAAAGTCCAGCGTTGATGTCATCAATCTTCGTTCCAAATGAAGTGATACAAAAATATTTATTCGATTGTAAAATGTTTGTTTTTTGCTACTAGTAACAGAGCATCACAGTTTCCACCAACACAAAACATGAAGATTAACAAATTCCAACTTGAGTTTATGATTGATGCAGGACATTAAAGTACAACCACTTTTGGGTGAAAATATTCATTTAATAAAATTTAAATAAAATTTAAAAATCTTCGCATAACTCCTAAAAGTACGCAAAACTACAATCGGTTGTCTGAAATTAGCTAAAGTATAAAAGTCAATATAGTTTAAACTCTCCACACTGATTTGGGTTTTAAACTGAACCTTCCTTGTATTCAGAAGAACTAAAAAAAGGGAAAACGT